GTACTTTGTTTTACTCATAAACAGATGTTCATCTTTATGACCATTCCAACAAATATTTTACCAAGAGTAAAATTGGGAATGACCCGGGGATGATAAGAACATAAAACAGCAAGTGTGAAAGACTTTTATGGTGTTGGGAATTAATTGGATTTTGTTCTACATCAAAACAAAATTAAATCGGGAGATTTGAAAACAATAAACGATATGAAATAAGACGGTTAAACATATTCTTCGAATACTCCCGATGAAGTTAATCATATTTATAACCCTACGCCACGAACCAACGTATATTTTGTATACATTAATCTTTAATGCCTTCATCTTCAATGTGATATATATTGTACGCCAAGTTTGTCCAATTATATATAAATGATGACAAACGCACGAATACAATACTTCCCCCCTTCTCAAATGGAGGTGCTCAAGTTGAAATATGAGAGACACGCTGGGCATCAAAATCCCCGAAAGCGGCGGAAAGAAAACTTTTATCACCCCCAACTCGCCGAATCCCTTGAAGTGGCGATGGCAATAAACACAGGCGTAATCATTAATCATGCGCGATCAAAGTCAAAGATACAAAAAACAGATACACATACGTATAAACACACACTGAGAAACCGACTGACACACTAACATTTGCACTCACGCTTATTCAATCAAGTGTACACCTAAAGAAAAAATGGAAAATAAAATTTCACATTTAAAAATAATTTAATTACAAAATTGGCAGCAGTACATTTGAAATTATGAAAGCTTTTTGTTAAATACTTTGATATTTCTAATATTAGAAATATACTTAAAATAATATTCGATCAAATTTCTCTGTGTGCAATTGTTTGGGGAACAGTCGTCGTTTTTCTGGATGGATGGCTGGGGGCTACTTTAATCAATTTCAAACAACAAACACAGAACACTTGGAAGCTCATCGTTCACAGAACACAAGGTTCTTTTGGGCGAATAATATTGTAAATAAATGTTTATTAAGGAAAGAAAAAAATAATATAGCTTCAGGCTTTTATGGTAAAATGGGGAATTTTTGTTGGGTTATAAATGCCCGCGGTTGGCAAACAGACGACGTCACATTTGCCAAATTTGAAATATTAACACACATTTTATATTTTTCTAAACATCGGAAAAAACCGCGAGACATTTGTTCTCCTTTAAAACTGCAATAAACGTGCCAATCGAAAAGCACAAATAAAAACAAAAGTAGGGGGAAAAATTTATGAGTTTCCGTTCCTCCCATTTCTGTTGCTACACAAATTCAAAAGATGATAATTATGATAATGGGTTAAGTGCAAAAATTATGATAATTGGTCGACGAGAAAGCTACGCCCTCGCTTTCAGTGCATTCTCCAGAGAACGAAAGCAAAGTATTAGCAAGTGCGAATGATATTGCTCATCCGCCACGTTCGCCGGCTAGCTATAAAAATATGGCAATGCAGATTTTCAAGGAAATGCACATTACACAGCCATATTTATGGCATTTGGCTAAACTGCAGATAATTTATAAAATGTTTACTGAGGCAAATTACATGCAGCGTGCTAAAGACTTGCGGGAGAGGGATTAAAGAAACGTTTGTTTACAAAGTAATGAAAGAATATTTAAAAAATTTAAATTAAAATACGTAACAATTCACAAAAATTATGCAAAATCATTCAAACTTTTAAACACTTTTAATATTTTTTTTTCTTATTTTTAAAAAAACATGTTTAAATTTTAATTGAATTTTAATTGTTTTTGTTTTGGTTTGTTACTACCACTGAAATAAGTTGGCTAATCAAAAAGCGAATCTTTCAAACCTCAAAAGTACTATCGAGGTGAAAAACCTGCAATTGAATATTTGCGAAAATCATAAACAAACTTGAACCTAATCTTTATATGAATTTAAGCAGCCTGCAAAACGTTTTGTTTATTTATTTCCATTTCGCTTTATTTTTTCACCGCTGCAGCTCAGTTAAACTGAAGCACCCCTCTCGGCGATGGCAGAGCGTAAACAAACCCCCCTTTATAAAAAAGAGGAAAACAAAAAGCGAACACACGAACCGGCGAGCAAAGCCAAACAAAACAATTCAAAAAGAACTGAACCCATCCAATCCGAAACCCAGCAGAATGCGGCTGAACAACAATGGATCTCCGTATATTTATTTATGAGTAGTTTCAGCGAGTGCCCCCGCCACTTTGTGTTTGCTTTTTGTTCTGGGCAGGGGTCAAACGCGTGGTCGCCTTTACAAATGCGAAATTCCACAAGTGTCCACAATAAAAACGAGACTGAGAGGTGAAAATGACAATGAATTTTAGTTGGACTTGAGGCTTATCAGTGTCGCTATTATATGTTCCATCTAAGGTCTTTGAGCAAGGCCAATTTCTAAGGAATTTAAAAATAAGTCTCTTTGGAAAATATTACAAAAAATTAAAATATATTTTTTTAATACATATTGGATTACAATTATTATTTACTCTCATATTATTTTTTTGATGAAAACTATAACAACAATTTTATTTTCTTTAAAACTATATCTCCTTTCAGCTGGAAAATAAATCATTAGTTTCCATAAACACGATTAAAAGCGCAATAATAATAAATAATATCCAACTTTTGTTTACAATTATTCTGTGCTTGCACTTTTATATTTGTAAGCGATTTCTTCTGAAAGAAAACAGATATTACACGGTATTACAGATATTCTTTGAAGCGTAAGTCCAGTAAGGATATTCAATTTCTTCAATTTATTTTCATTAACTTCAGTAGTCGATTCTTTGAATCCGAAGTTTATTTATGTTCGCTCCAGTTCAAATTAAAGTGATACAATTTAACTTGGCCAAAAGATGCAACCGTAAACGCAGAAGCAAAAACGTTGAGCAATTCTGAGTAGCAGAAACTTTTGCCAACTTGAATGAACAACGGTGGCTCCAAAGTGTAGTTACTTTGGTAGCTTGACAAAGGCAGATGGAACTTTTACTCAATGGGAAAAGGGGGCGTGAAGGGAGGACAGTGTCGCATGTCGCATGCCTTAAGGATATGCGAGAGCTTCAACCGAGTCGGCTTGACATACTGACATTTATGGCACAGTGCTCACAGGATTCGAAAATATATTTACCCAAAAAATATTAGTGCCAATACAATGCCAAAAGTTTCCCTGGCTAACCATTTGTTTACATTTTTTTAATTTTTCTATATTAAATCAATCATTTAATTAGTATTTTTCATATATATTTTTTTAAAATTTCTTTTTTTTATTTATATTATTTTCTTTAAAGTGTAATGTTATCTTCTCCGTGCTAAGAAAAAGTTACTTTTGTTGCGTTCTCAAGTGTGTTGGTTGAGAACTTTTCTAATTGCTGCATAGACACTTTCAAGCGAAGCTCGCAAGAGCAAAACATATTTACATACAGATCCACATTCATTTTCTTTGAACAAACAACTGCCAAGAAAAGCGACATGGAAATACGTTTGGAAAATGCTGGGTCTGGAAAACAACATTGAACAACATCAAACAAAATGAACAATAAGTTCCAAGCTGTCACTTGTAGCTACTGCTTGTATCTTAATTTCCTTTTGGGTTTAGGTTTAAAAGGGTCTTTGAATCTTAAAAAAAAATTTAATGGTCGTAAAACATATGTTTAAAACTTTGAATATTTTTCCAAAATTAATTTTTACTCATTATTGCTATCATAATTAGGTACATTAAAAAAAAATATTATAAATAATAAATATTTTAATTTCATTAACTCTTTTAGTAAAAGTCTTATTAAACATTACATTCATAAAATGTAATTATTAATCGGAAGGAAAGCTCTCGAACTAAACCATTACTCTCGTTTTCCGTTCCGTTTCGCTTCAGTTAATTTTCTCCATTTCCGCAAGGAAGGAAGCAAGTCGGCAACAAGTGTTGGATCCCCAGGAGCAGAAATCAGTGGGACTTTGGGACGTGGTGGGGCAATCAGGACGCGCAGCTGGCGGCTGTAAGGAGTGCCACCCACCCGAATCCCGTGCAACCGCCAACCGATTTTCGCCATGGTAAATCACAATGCGGAGTCTGCGAAAACGGAAAACGGCACAAATGCAACGAATCTGATTGTTAAAGCCGGCGGAAATGCAACAATCCAACCCAAGACGATGACGTCATCGGCGGCTAGGATGACGGAGGCCCTTTCGGCATCTTTGGCCGATTTGAGCGAGCAGGAAAATGGAACCACGGGTGAGTGTGAAAATTCCAGTTAATCCTTGAATGGGAAAAGCATCTTCAAAATCAAATTAGTCTTCACAAAGGAAGCATTCTGTGTATACTGTGGGGCTTTCTACACAAGAAATGCCGCAGGATAAATATTTTGGCTTTTAAAGGAAATTACATTAATTGTTGTAACTAAAATGTTTTAATTAATGGATTAATTCGATAAAGTGATTGATTAAATAGGTATTCATTCTAATCATTTTTAAACAAGGTTTTTTGAATTCTTACAAAATAAATATCTTATAAAATCATTGCCTATATTTTGGCATTACCTATTTTCCCTATTTAAACTTAAAGTTGATGGTGTCACTTACCGATTGTCGACTGTGTTTTAATTTTTGACTAGGGTGTTGGTCTATTAAATGAGCCTCGGGCTCGGTTGCCATTCATCTTTTTGGCCAGCTCAGGGCCATATTCGCTGGTTGCCTTGGTTTGGTCTTTAAATTGAATTGCCCAACCCCGATTCACCATTCGCCATTCAGCACTCGCCACCCATTTTATCCCCTGGCTGGCTGATGTAACTCCGTGCGCTACTTAATTTGGGCTTGTCACGATAACATCAGGCTATCCCCTCATTTCCACTTCCAATTTCCACCGACGGCTGCTTTCTTTCGCGTTTGTTGTTTTAATTAAATTTACCCCACTCCGGGCTGAGTTCATAATGATAACCATAATAATGATGTCAAAACAGTTGCTTTAACTATTAATTTTTGATTAGCTCGAGTCCGTCGAGTGGCTTAAGTTGAAAAGTCAAAAGTCAAACATTTTGCTTAGAATGTGTATTTCTAGTTTATGGTCTGTGGTGGTGACTGTGAAATAATTCTAGCCTTATAATGGAATTGAAAGCATACTTTTCAAATTGTATGCAAGCGACGAAAATCAGCGAAATTGCTATTACGAATTTATGTTCAACTTTCTCTTGCCATGCTCCACTTTCTTTCTTCCTATGGCAATAAGATTCGCACTTATTGCATATTTTCTTGTCATTGAAATACTTTTCATTAACTAGAATTCCACATCCCACTTTCGGCGACCAGAAGCAGCAGTATTCCTTAATGGGATCTGTTATTTTAGTGTTAAAAGTTATTCACTGAATGGTATGGTATAATAATAACCACTCTTACATTTTATATCGAAATAACATGGTACGCATTCCGGGTACACACTTTCGTTTAGACATTTGTCCCTTATAACGGATTCCTGATCATCTTGATGACAACGGTATCCATCGCCAGCATTGTAATTTATTCCCGAGCAGTCTCCACAACCGAATGTGTCATCAGGTGCTAACATATTCAAAGAAAAAATACAACAAATAATCTATAAATTCTTAAATGGTATGTACTTACTTCCATTTTTAAAAAGTGGATGCTTAAGAGCCTGCAAAGTTACCATGTGGAGTAAGAAGAAAACTAAAAGCAGCATTAAAAATCGTAGTACATAAGCCAATTTTCAGAGAATGTGGTTGTATTATTTTGACAGCTACATGAGTCAATTTAAGCTTGGGTAACTTGTATTTATTTATTGAAAAATGCAGGAATGAATATTTCGAAGGTCATTTTGAACTTGAAAATATGATATTTCAATTTCAGTATGACCTTAAAAGTCTTCATTAAAGCAGAAGAAGTAGGGCAAGAACTAAGGCTGCGATATGTTTTGAATTTATATCTATAGCGTTATTGGCATCCACATCATCATCATCTTCCTGTGGCGAATTGCAAAGTTCCAGACACTTATTGCAGGCTGTGTTATATTCATAATTGGACTTTATTCCAAGAAGTACTGAACAACCTAATTCCGGTGACCAGAAGCAGCAGTATTCATTTATATCTCCTAAAATTGGGGATTACAATAAATACCTAGGATGTATTTCCCACTGGAGACTTACGAATTAGCTCATATTCATTCGGAATACATTTCGGGTACTCATTTTCAGTTGATCCGAATTTGCCAGCAACTGCTGAATCATCTTCATAATGGCATTGATAGCCTGTTCTATTTCCGTGGTTATTTGCCAAAATCAAACAGGTTTCACAACCTGAAATAATAACTTTGGAATATCATAATATAGAGATGATTAAAAAGGATAAAATGGTTACTTTTATTTCCAGGATTACTTCCCTTTACCGCAACTGAAAATAAAAGCAGCATAAGCATTCTTACTGAAATTTCGAAAATAGATTTCATAAATTTTGAGAGATATAACTTTGTGTACCTAGGTCCCAAAGGTGGTTTTCAAATTTTATTTTCCTAAGAAAAAGTACGCAAGTTTAGTTGTTAGTATTACATAGCATTACAATGATCAAGTTAATGGATATTCCAAGACAATTAATACCATTCCATTGGGTTCATAAACGTATCCAGAGTACAAACAAGGCCAGTGCATTTAGGAATCCATACGTCGAAACCCTTTTATTTCCGTCTGTTTCCGAATTTAAATGGCGCTTCGTTTCGGAGCAAAACTTCCCGCAGGTTTTGCAGAAGTTATGCCTTTTTTCGTATAACTGCCTTCCGATAAGAGCCGAACATCCCAGCATTGGCGACCAAAAGCAGCAATACTTTCTTATATCGCCTACAGTTGAATGACGATTGGAACTGCAAACCAATATTATATTTTTGATCGTATGCAGACTCACGAGTCACAATGAACTCATTTGGCAGGCATTTCGGATGCTCATTTTTTATTTTCTTATAATTCTCTTCAACTGCAAGATCGTCCTCGAAATGGCAAGAGTAACCAACATTGGTTCGAATGTTCCGTATAAATGAGCAGTTCGCGCACATGGGAAAATTGACTACCGCATTTGCTTTGTACCAAAATGTAATATTCAGAATTATGATATAAAATATTTTATAAATTTACCCGTCTTATAAGGCTTCAATGCCTTCGGTATAGTCCCATCGACACCCAAAGTAATGTACAGTAGAATTACTACAATAAATTTCATTTGATAATTTTTTGAGAAACGGAACAGATAGTTTAATTTAAAGCTATTGTCGCTGCCTACTAGATTCTTTCTTGAGGAAGTTTGGTTGAAAATGGCCAGGTAAATTATCATTGAAATCGAAAAGATGGTTTCTAGCCCTTTTCTGGGTGAGTTTTTAGGGTCAGATTTATTTTTCTTGAAAAAACTAAGGAACTATTTTTTACATTTTCTGAATTACTAAGAAGTAGGTCTAACATCACATTGAAATTAAACTAAGTTATAGGAAAATTTCAATAAGATGCTAGAGCTACTCATAGTAATTCTTATTATCATATCCACAAATTAATGAAAGCCAGTGCTATTAAATAACTATATTCCAAAATCTTATTAGTTCCTTCCGGTATATCGTCATATTTTAGTCCGGCGCAAACAGGTATGCAAATATCGCAGTAGTCTCTGCTTCTATCATAGAGTTTCCTACCGATGAGTGCAGAGCACCCCAATTCCGGGGACCAAAAGCAACAATAATAAAGAACTTGTCCTTTTATTATTAATTAAATAAATTAAAATTAAAAAATCATACAAATATTTAATCTGTTATTGTTTATTGAAAACTCACGATTTATAAGGAAATTTTTGGGTACACATGCCGGGTATTTATTTGCTGTTTCTTCGAACATATGTTCAACTGCTTTCTCATCCTTAAAATGGCAAGAAAAACCAGTATTGTTTTGCACATTTTTAATTTTTTTACAATTTCCACAAACTGGAAAATCTTTATGAGCGCTAGCTGTGCCCAAAAAATTTATAATCTAAATCGGAATATACAATATTTTATGAATTTACCTAGAGTATAATTAATTATTATGCTTAAATTATCTATTGGATTTAAAGAAATTGAACTATTGACTAAAGAAATGAATAGAAACACTAAAAGAAATTTAACTTCAAACATTTTTGCAAGACTGAACGAATCATTTTTAAAATGTTGCTCTCTGCCTACTTGAAAAACATAAACTTTATATTAAATATTAATTTTTTCCAGAATCAATAAAATCAATATAGATAGTAATGCGTTTACGTATATTTTGCAATTTCCCGAGTTTGTAAGGGAAAATAAAATACTGAAATATCCTTTTTTGATATCCACGGTCCGGAAAAAAACATTGAAATTAAATATCCATTTTCCGGGATGTTTTTATGTGTTAAAAATGAATCCACCGGTTAGCTCTGAACATCCCCTTTCCAAAAGCAGCAATAATTATCTTTTTGACCTATTATTGGATTTTAGAGTTACTAGCGAATATTCCATTTGTGATTGTACTCACGATTTACCAAAAATTTTCTCTGGTACGCATTCTGTAATTTTTTTTATTTTACTCCATACCTATATTTCACTGATCTACGTAATGACAGAAAAAAACAAATTTTTTTGAGTTCGCTTAATTTTTAAAATGTTTTTTCTCTATTCTTGAATAAGTTCCTTTTGTCTGCGATTCCTCATAGTTTTTAAAGAATGAAAACCAATTATTGGAGTTCCAAAATAAAAATTTTTTTTTTAGTTTTTCTTGTATTAAGCTTGTGTATTTGCAGCATTGCGCTGTTGCCTTCGCAAACAATAATATGATGTTATAATATATAGGAAGTATGTGGTTATCACTGTGTAAAAGAGTATTACGATTAATATCATTGTTCCCCCGTGTTATTGCAGATCTTACCACAAATTAGTACTACAAAACTCCAGAACACAATACTGTACGTCAAACCATAATTTGAATATGTATTCGTCTTCAAGGCAGAGGATACCGAGGCATAAATAATCGCGTATATCAAGTAGACTGTCTCGATTATTAAGTAAATTAAAATAGCGACGAGAGCTCTATGCTAAATGAACAATCATTTAAGAGATATTTTTTTTAAATACCTTATTTCCTTGCACTTACCATTAGCACAGAGTAAGATAAACACAGAGAGGCAACTAAATGCAATAATCCCCACAGAAGCATTACCCAGTCATTCTCCTGCAATCCTGTAAAATATAATTAAATATTAGATATCTGGAAAATAATTATTTGCGCAATAATTCTTAATCGTTATTTACGGAAGTATTCAACCAGGTGTCCCGTACACAGAAAAAGGGTAAAAAATGATATGATTATGCAGCCGATTTGTAAGCTTATACAATAGCAAAACTTTTGCGCCTGCCACATTTCATTTATCGAATACTTAAAATTTAATTAATTTAATTTTTGATTTAAATTCCTGAGAAAATTACGAAAATTAAGGGGTATACAGTCCAATTAGCTAGTACTTATTAAATACAACTAGCAATTACTCTGCAAGATTTTCAGTTTCTCTCTGCTTCAGTTGTCGATAGTACGAATAGATTATGTACATAAAATATAATGTCAAAGCTAAAATAGAGCAGAAATAGTACCATTATTTAACTACTATGTACAATTATTTAAATTTATCTTACCCAGCCAAATTACCACGTATAGCCAATAGGTAATATTATGCCAGAGGCTCTCATTTATTATCAAATTTTCTGTGATTGCTGCTGAAATTATACTGAACAACACTAGATACACAGCCTGAATGGCTTGAATGGTAAGCGTTGTCCAAAACAGACAAAAGTATTGCTAAAAATATAAATTTGGTTAATTACTGGATATTATATTTTGTGATACTAACCGATATGATTGAAATTAGCAACATACAAGAGGCCAAGACAGACAATAAGTCTGGAATCAGTTGCAAGATAGTGTAGAGTACTTGATCTAAATTTAAGTAATACAAACCAAAAATTAAATCAATTAAATATAGAATACTTCATATTTTACCTGGGAATTTATATTCGGTTTCTCGGGAATAAGTTCCTGTCAAATTTTTAAAGTTAGTACACAAATAATATTAATAAATAACTCTAACAGAATTATAAAATATAAACTGACTAATGGTATTTATTTACTATTTAATAGATACATTATATAATCAATGTTCATGCCCGACAAAAATAACTCAAGTAATGCAATCATTATACAACCCGTTTGCAAAGATAAACAGAAACAACATTTATTGGCCGGATTCATAATTTAAGAGGATTTGACAGCAAATTCAAAATGTACTTAACAAAAAATTATTTTATTTTAGCTATGTTAAGAAATACTTACTTGCTTTATTTAAAAAGACTAATAAATTAATATATCAAAATTAAATAGTACAGGACAGTTAAAACCAAAATCCTTATTTATCATTTTGTAAAAAAATGATTTGCTGTGCACCACATGGCGTATACGTTATTTATTTACATGACGAAAGTTTTAGGCAAATATTGTCGGATGGCTTTCCCAGCTGTTGGTGCCAAACTCAAGCGAAATTGCCTCCATCTCATCTCATTTACCGCCATCTCCTCTTCAATGCGGGTATTAACTTTTTTGCATAATTTCAATTTAAGCAATTTGTATTATGGCCTCATTAGCATTAGCCTAGAATTTCCTGGCCGATGTGTGCTTGTGTGTGTCAGGCACGCGTGGAATCGTTTTCAGTTCTCATCAAGATGCTAATGAAATTATAAAGAAAATTGAGTCTGCCATATTAGCACAGCAAAAGCGTTATCCACACTTTCCGAACATGTGGTAAGAGGCGCAGATAATATTTTTGTTATATACTTTTTTTATTGCCTTAAAAATAAATTTTACTATTTGTCAATCGAGCATTAAATCAGGTTTTAAAATCCTTCTTATGACCTATCATTTGTCAACACATGGTGGTCTGAATTCATCTGGATGCTGCTTCACGTAATAATATGAATAGATTTTGATTATGCAAAATATATCTATGCCTGTAAGGTTAGACAATTATTCCCAGAAGTTTAGGATATTTATGTATGGAAATTACCCAGCGTCACCAAATTTACCAAGACATATATCGATGCAGCTAGAGCACTACTGAAGAACGGGTTGCGAACATTTACCAGGGCATTGAAGACGATGTAGTATGATATGATGTGAATGATAAACATTGCCATCCATATGAAAACGACCTTAATATATTTCTAAAAAGAGTGAAGAGTTCAATAGGCCTAGGCTTGGGGACTTTTGGCTCACCGTCATGACAGAAATCAGCAGGACAACTGCAGCTGCAATCATCAGAGCTATGTGAAACACATTGAACCATTTTGCCCATACATCAGTTTTGAACGCTGTCATTTTGGAAGCATAAATTTACTCAAATTCTTTTTCACTGTTGTTTCCAACTTACTTTCCCTGTATATAACTTCATCGACTGTGGTGCCCGCGTTGAGGAATCCGAAAAACAAGGTGTAGAATGAAATTATTATGCAGCCAGAAGTCAGAGAGAGACAGAAGCAAAATTTTCTTCTGATTAGCTTCCTTATAAATGGCATCAAAAAAACACAAATAAATTCCAAAAAATAGCCTCATACTTGACAAATAAGTCGTACCACTTTAAACTTGAAAGCTTCTTAAAATTTAAGCCTTCAATCTTTCACCCATCAGCTGGCGAAACTCAATCGTTGCATCTCCTCTAGTTTTAGGTCACTGCAGTCCATCTTTTTCAACAAAGTTTCAAACGACCTCGACCCTCCCCCAAAGAAACTTTAGCTTCACAGAAAGTTAGACAAAGTCCCTTGGCCTTTTTTGCACATCCTCCACTGAGTAAAGCCAAACGTCTGCCTTTTTTCTTGTGTTGCTCGTTTAATGCGTTAATTGAAAGCAGCAGCCGTCTAAAAAAGTATGCTTCCAATCGACTGGCAAATAAAGGATGATTTGTTGGGCTTGGGATCTAGATTAATTAAGAAAAGTTCTATCCTAGACTTAACTGAATGGGGTATTAAAAATTAATTAGTTTACTTAAAAGGGGCTGGGACATTTAAAAGTTTACCGATAAAGATCAATTCAATAGTAAATACCTAAGGTTAAATTACTACATTTTTAAAATTTATTTACAGTATAACCATTAAAAGTCATCTTACATTTAAAATATATGAGTTGCATTTAAAACACTTTCCAGAAAAACCCAGTTCATTAATTTCCCTAAAGACAACATTTCCTTGAAATAATGAAGCCAAATAAGACAATGTTGTGGCCTTGCTAATGAGGCTAATCAGATTAGTGTATTGTTTTCCCAGACTTCATTATCTTTGTGCACCATATGGTCGTTCCATTTTTGATTGATTGCAGCATCAATTTATTTGCCATTAATACCCCGATATCAAATTGGGTAAGCAACGTGTTGATGGCCCATTAAATGTCAGGAAGGAGAAGAACAGACAGAGAGTAAGTTGAAATAAAAAAAAGGCTATGTCACATATCATAAGCCGAGTTTCCTCCTCCTTCCTCGTCAATACACCGATCGATTTGAGGACCAATGCGAATCTCTTTCACCCACTACCACCAGCAGCCAGTGCTTCCAACAGCTCATCTATCATCATTGCCATGAGTCCTTCCTATCCGGGAATGCTTTTACTGTATCCTGCATCCTCAATGCCCTCGTTTGACACCCTAACACCCCAGCTGGCGTATTTATAGCATCTTAATTGAATTTCAATTTTCAATTTCGCTTTTAATTGAATTCAATGAAAAAGTGTCGATGAAACGGTATTCAGCTTGGTCCCATCCCCCGTTTCCCATTCCATCCCAATCATCCGATCCCTTGCAGTTGTTGTTGATGCTGTTTATTCAGCTGCCAGTTGAGCACCGCCTGGCTGGCTCTTGATGGCGCCGTCCAGGCCACAAAGCGTCCCCAGTGAGCCCATGTCACAGAGCACTGAAAGAAACCCCATCTTAAAAAAATCATTCAACCAAATAAAAAAGCATTTTCCAAAAAATTAAATGATGAAAATAATGATCAGTCTAATCGCTTTTACTTTAATTATGGAGCTTAATTAAAATCCATTATTATAAATTTTGTAAAAATTCTACAGAAAGCCTTTATTTATTTTCTTACTGTTCCGAAATGAAGCCAATATTAGACATTTTAATAAATTACATTTATTGAATACCCACTTTTGGCATTTTTTGGTATTATATTCCAATTTCCCAAGTTAATACAAACTAAACTTTCAAATATTTTTCAAAGATTCTTGTAGGAGTTTCAAAGTTTTTCCATAATTTTAAACAGCATTTGATTTTCTCTAAGTGCATACCTAAGTGTACTAAAACGACCCACAATTGGCCTGATGTGATTGCGCTCATATTTTGCACTCTGATTGGTTTGTGATTGACTGAAAAGTTGTAAATTGATTCGACTGTGAGTGAGTGGTGGGCCAATGCAAGATAAACAAACCAATTTCGGTGGTTAGTGGGTTAAGCAATAAAGCACCAAAAAGTTAAGCCCTCGCACTATGTGAGCAATTATAATTGGTGTCGGTTGTGTTTTGATGTTTTATGAGCTTCGCTTAAAAGTAAATAGGGGTATAAAATGAAATCACAGAATTCAGAGACATGGTAATAAATTCTTTTTTTTGTCCTAAAACCCACCATTGGCCCTTATATTCACATTAAAAATTCCAGAATAATGCAGACATGTGGGACACACATCATAATACCCGTGGCAAAAAAAATCTGTCACCACCGAAGCGAATCAGACAAATAGAAATTCAAATGAATGCAACTTGCATGCGAAATGAGAATTCCGGTGCACACACCTCTGAGAAATGGCACAGCAGCATCTGAATGGTGAATTTGTATCTGGATATCTGTATCTGACGATGAATCTGCATTTTGCTGCCAGTCTGAGTCTGGCTTATTATGCGGCCACCATTCCTCAGTGTCTCCTCTCGACCAAGCCATCTGTTTATGAGTTTGCATTCATCATCGTGCCGACATATGTGGGTACGAGTGTATCTGAGGCTCAGCCAATATGAGATTTATGCCATTCAACACAAGACGAAGTGTGTGAGTCCCCTTCTCCTGAATTTGCATTCTAGGTTTGAAGGTGACAGCAACAACAACCAAACGAGAATTTCGCGAAATTGGCCCCCAAAGATAAAGCCGAGCAAAAATAGCAACCGACAAAAAGATGTATGCAAATTACTTTGACAGTGAATACGCGCCTGGAGCAGTGTCAGCGTTTTATTGCTAAAATATGCACATTACGAATCCAGATTTGTGGGATCTGTCCTTTGATTGCCCTGCTCTCTGGGGCATCCCACTTTGCATAGCTGAAAGACATCGCCGTTTAGTAGGAAATTGATAGCGACTTGCCGCAAATTCAATATTCATGTCAGCAAGAGATTTTTCTTAATCGATTTGCAAGTTAAGTGCTTTTTATGGGATCAATGTGTTGACACCCAAACGATTTTTGCTGGAGAATAAGGCGATTTAAATACAAATAGTTAAGATATCAGGAGAAATTTTATTGTGGATCAATTTCTTATCTTACAAAATATTTATCACCTTTTGCTAAAAATAGGTTAACCTTTTGGCCCACACTCTTTTGTTTTTATGGAGAACCCAAAAAAGGACTTCACCCAATAGTTGGACATAACAAAAATTGAAAGCTTAAGCGTTTTGGGTCTTATAGCTGATTGGCTTGCGTGCCTGAAGAAACGAAACAAAAGGTAGCAAAAAGCTAAAGCACACACATGGCGAAGCAAGAGGAAAATACATAAGTTATAAGTTATTCAACTATAAGATACCCTTTAATTATTTAAATATTTAAAAATGTGTTTTCTTCCTTAAAGTACAAGAACTACAATTTTCTTTATATATCGAAGTGATTAATTTCCTTATATAAATGACTTCCTACCTATAAAGGAAAACAATATATCCAACATACCTATGATTACCCTCTAGAAAATGTGTCAACCCAAGCGAATGGGGCAAACGATGGCTAAAAGAGCTGGCTGCAAAATAAGTTATCGATGTCAACGGCAGACTGTTGACTTGACTGGCTACGGCTTTTGTCTTAGCCAACACATTATTTACGAGCATCGTGCCAGCGACACGCACGGAAAACCAAATAGGCAGCTGCGTTCTGCTTTCTCCGCCACAAGAAGAAGAACCAGGAGCACTAGGAGGACCCAGAATACGTGCCCCACGGGGTCGACTTCGTTGGCACGTCTATTACCTTAAGCGTCTGTTGCCAATTTGGCTTCCTTTTTCGCTTCCACCGCATGGCCAAAGTCTCCATTGACTGCACCTTGATTAATGCGCTCTTTTTTCCCCCTATTCCGGGCTCCATCCTTTCAGTTTCGCCATTAGTAAATGCGGTAGCCACGAGCATTTCCATTGTTTCCGCTTCCCTTGTCGTATTGTCACCAATTTGTTCAGATGCGACTTCTTTTCTTATGCCCGATGGACTATTATTTATCTCAGCTAGGTGTTGATGGCTCGTGTCGGAGGAGTTGATGTATCTGCTGCTTACGGTGATGGAAATGAGATAAAAGAATGTTTCCATCAGCAGGGAACATTGTTTTGGAATGAAGAGAAAAACAGGTCCTTTGAGTCAGAACACAAAAAAGATTCATTTTAATTAAGTGTGATAAAGGTCTTAAAGTTAACAAAACCAAACCCTATAATTTCACATTTTTAGGATTTTTATAATTTATTTTAAAAAGTTACTTTAGAAAATATTAATTTTCTATATATATTAAACGTCTTGTTCTCCCGCTCGCTAAAATCTTGTTAAGCTGGATTTATTTATTCAGCTGACAACATGTTTCACAAGTGGATAAAGACTGAAAACATTTGACCCCAATCACCGCATAAAAGCTCTTCTTAACATGCGCGAATGGTGGTTTCAGATTAATGTAAAAACCCCTCACATATATATTTTCGTATTGAATGGACTATAAAATCAGAGTGAATGCATACAAACCGGCAATCGAGTAGATCGCCTGACTAAGCCTCACACAAACTGGGGCTTCAACCGGGAATCCACTTCAAGGCTTCGCGCTTAAATCGCCAACTTTCAAATCCTTCGCAAGGACATGTGCCTGGTGCTGTGTGTTCTGTGCATCGTGTCTTGTGCCTCGGTGGCACAAGCCATCTGCTTGCCATGCGGCCCACGATTCAGCGCAAAAAGCTTGTAATTCCTGTCTCAGCCCGAAGGATGTAATTTACAATGTTGCAGCAGGTGGCGGTTGCAACTCGGAGCGGAGTGGCTCTGGCTCTTCGGTTGGCTGTCAGGCATGTGCGGCATTTGCAGCCTGCATTTTGTAGCATTTTATGTTGTCGACCTGGGCCGACGGGTCGTATGTGCAATATTTTCCGCATCTCCTTTTGCCACGGGCGAATGGTGTTGCATACTTCAGGCATTCTGAAAATTTCAATACATTTGCTAAAGAAATGAAAACTGGCAGGAGATAAAGGAGCCAGAGGTAAAATAAATGTTTCGGAAGAGATTTAAAGTTTAAGCAAAGCATTTGTGTGTGTCCGGATAACAGCATGCAATTCCAATTAATAGTTATGGAAAAA